CCTTGTATGTTATCAAATCCCTCACATTATGGGATTCTAACTAGGTCTCTAAACTGTATAAATACCCCTTTTGTTTTTCAATGAGAATAACAATAGAATTTCTCTAAAATTACAAAGGTATATGATACGATGTTCTTATATGATTGAACGGATTGACAACATTATGTAAAAGTGATATAGTAGATACTATTAGTTTAAAAATAAGTATTGACGCATTTTGCGTCTAGGATTACTCTAACAGTTTATATGAATCATTATAATTTCTTGAATTCAATGTTATTTCTAATGATATAAAAATGATAGTATTAAAGATCCTTTTTCGTACTTATCAATGACTCTTTTTTTTACATCTCGTTCAATGCCTATAATATGTTAGGAACTGACCTGATTTTATACACCCACTTCAAAACATCTCTGGGTTTGCATCTTGGACAGTTTTTTTCAAAAAACTTTTTCAACAAGTAATCTGATAAAATTTCACATATAGCTTAATGGGATACCAAAAAGAAGAAGTGACTTATTTGATCATTGCATAGGTATTTGTCTATTAGTGTACACTAGTGGAGAGGGTCTTAAAGTACCCTCATTTGTAGGATTTGATTAATTTTGGTATATATAGTTTTTAATTAACATCGCCCAATAACAACACCCAAGGGTCGTTTTAATTAAATAAATCCAACAAATTCTATATGAAATAAGGTTTAGAAAGTACAAAATGGCTTAATTTATTCGGTAAATATTCAACGTCGACTCTGGATCATATTATCTACATCTCGATTAATCTTATGAAAAACGGTTAACGTTTATACAAATCATTTGGTGATTTTTAGATAACAAAAATAAAATCTTTTTTACCCTTAGGTCCCGTTTAGTTTGTAGGAATGAAATGAGTTTGGAGGGATTTTGTAGATAAATTCCTCCGATCCTATGTTTGATTTGAAGGATTTCATGGATTTGAAATTAGAGCTGATCATTTGCGGGTTTGGGCTGGACGCCCGGACCTGAGCCGGGATTAACCTATTTTTTTGTCCAATGGGTCTAATATGGTAAAACCAATCTCGTTTTTACGGGCTTGAAAACTTACCCATTTCCGTCCTATAAACGGACCGGGTTTGTCCACGGGCTAACGGGTTTAAAAATCTTATTATATTTTTATGAAAACAAAACTTATATAAAATCATAATTTATGTAAAATAATTCAAAATATATAACAATTTTTCCCAACTTAAAATTTAAAGTAAACATATAGCAATATACGCAATTATATTTTCAAATTTAAGATTTTTAAAAAATGTTATTATCATAAATCATAATTAAGTAGGAATTGATAAGTATTAAGAATTTTCAATTTTAATTATAAAAGTTAATTATTATAAAAATATTAATGGACCTAGCGGGCCTGCCCAAATATTTTTTTTCCTTTGTCCATGTCCACCCATTAATTTTAACAAGCCGCTCCAGGTCTGCCCTTTTTTTTCGAAAATTGTAATTCAGGTCCGCTTTCCTAGCGGACAGGACATGACATGACATGACAGGTCTAGCGAGTCATCCCACCCATGAACAACTCTATTTAAAATCCACAAACATGAGATTTTGAAATCCCTCCAATTCCAAATCCTTTCACAAAATCTAAGGGGCTGTTTGGATCATGGGAATTGAAAGGAATTGGAATGTCCAATCCTTTGACCAAATTCCAAATAGAGTGTTTGGTTCATGGAATAAGACTATGGAATCTTTTCAATTTCATTCGATTCCTTCACGCACAAATTTTACAATTCCATGGCAATATGCTAGGATTTTAATTCCTTTCCTACAAATTCCTTCCCTAATCCAATTCCGTGCAACCAAACGCAATCACAAGGCATGGTCAAATTCCATCAGATTCCATTTCATTCCCTCAAAGTCAAATTCATTTGATGAATTCCAATTCCATCGAATTCCATTCTATGAACCAAACGCCCCCTAAATCTTTTAAAGCCATTTCATCAAACTAGACGTCGATTAAAATCAGGGTGCATTTGATTGCTTTGTCACCGTTAAAAGAAAGGTTTTTTTTCTTCTTTTTCTAAAAGCAAATCTTTTGTGGAATTAAAGTAGAAAATACATGCAGGAACAATACATCATTCTTGAAAAGCTCTCATGGGTACCCATGATGCCATATGCCACACAACAAATATCCATTTGCAACAAGTAATGCAAGGAAAATAGAATATATTTATGTGTGATTATTATTTTTAAAAAACAATTTTTTAAAACATTATAATTGGGGAAAAAAACATATATAATTCAACTAAAGATTAAAGCATATATGCTTGAGTAAAGGCGAAAACCAGTATAATATACAAGTTGCGGGTCTTTACAAAAACATCCGCTTTACTTTTTAGAGTAGAGGTCAAGTATGTGTATGTTATACTCACGAGACCCCACCTTAAGGTGGGATACACTAAGCTCATTTGGCTTGATTTATGAGTCTGATGCTTGATCCAAGATCAGCTCAAGAGCGGTTACAAAAGGTCGAGGTTGGTCATAACCGGAGAAGATTGCCATTAGACACGTAATTATGAACTAGGGCCGTTTTTATGATGAAAACAGGTTAGTTTGGGACTGATGGAAGGAATCGATTATCCAAACACACACACAGATATATATATATATATATATATACATTCATATATTTTACAGATATCTTGTATTTATTTTCATTACAGATCGTTTGGTTGGTTCCTTGCCTTTGAAAGGAGTGGTGCCATATTCGACCTTTATTCACGTCCTTTTCTTCCAAAGAGTTTTAAAAAACAGAAATTGGAGAAACTACCGTCACAAGAAAGTTTGACAAACGCAGGATTCGAACCTGCACCTTCCAAAAGGCAAACTTTTAACACGACAACAAACACCAACTCTCCCACCAAAAACTTCGGTCTTCAATTTAATTTCAAGAAATATAAAAAAAGGCATGCAATGAAACATTACAATGCCATTCTTCAGGAACGTATACATAATATTTTTTCCATCATGACAAAACCAAGATATGATGCATGTGTCATGCTCTTATATAGGTCTACCAGCCATAAACCTATCGCTAAGACAACACGTCGGGACTTGTGTCGATGATTAAAGGTTGCATGATTCTTTGGTACATAACATATGATCAAATCATGTCTACAACCCGTATACGAGATCCACTCCCTAATTCCGATCTAATATCAACAACTATTCCAAGTTCTTATAGGCATGATCTATTCAATTTACAAAGAAAACCACTCTAACCACACTACGGACGTCCGCCCAAAATGCATGAATAATGGTTCAAATATTATCATGCATCATCTTTTTCACCTCTTTACTACCAAAAAACTATAATCCATAGAACACTTGATAGGGATTTCTTCATTCCATATATATGAACTTGATCCATACAATTCTACAAGATCTTAGAGAACAAACAGAATAATGAAATCTTGAATTGAACTGAAAATTTGTATAAAAAAGGTATGGATTAAAATACCATCCATGGTGCATGAGGAAGTGCAGTCGAAAAGTGAAGGGTGGGTGCACGGAGAGTATATTCGAATAATTGCTCTGCTTATATGTCATTGGCTCTCTTCTCTCTCCCCACTCAAAATTTTCAATTACAATTGCTTCAACAACTGAAAACCAAACTTCAATTCTATTTTTTTTTTTGTAGAGATAGAAAGGGAGAAAAGGGTGTTCATGCATGTTCTTGCTATGCTGAATCATGGCGTGAGTGAAGGGCTTTGGGGAGGAATCTTGCCTCTCTGAATTACCCACAAAACGCAATTTTCACCACCCATTTCGTTTCTTGATCTCTATCTCTCTTGTTTTTGAAAAAAGCAGCACGAATTATCAAGAAATAGAGAGAAAGAGAGAGAGGATTGAAGGGGGAAATGGGGTTTTGTTGATTTTGAGCAAGTTTCTTGTATGTTCGATTTTGATAGTGGTGCTGGAAGCCTTACCCTATTTCTTTGCTGGAAATGGTACACTACTTTTTCTTGTATTCTTCTTTTCCTTTTTAGGGTTTTAAACAAACCCTTTGTTGTTTGATTCTCTGGGTATTTGTCTAAAGTTCATTCAAATCAAGGTTTTTGTCTGTTTTTGTAATATAAATGTTCATATGAACATTCAACTGCATCTTGAATTGTGTTGGGTCTAAAACTTTAAGACGCTACTAGAGCATTCAACTATTCAAATTTTGTTTGAAATGTGAAGCATTACATGTAATTCAAAGACATCTAAAGAGGGTAAGATTTCTATTTTATGATCGGATCATGCTTGCTTTGCGTAAGTGCAAAGAAAAGGTTTGGATGGTCATCTTTTTATTCAAAGAAAATTGATCAAAGTGCACCAGTTTCATCTTCTAATGGACTCAATTTACCCAACCTTTGTAAAGAAGGAATTTCTTCCTTGCTTGTGGTTAACTGTAAGCTCTTTTTTTGGCAGGTGGAAAAGCTAACAGATCATGGATATTTTAAACTGGTGGCTGCAGCTGCTTATTCTTGTTGAAAGTCTGAATCTTAGTGTTTTAAGCTGCTAAAAAACCTTCTTTTGATACTTGTCTAGCTTTACAGCTTTCCGCTTCTTTGTTGATGGTTGTTTTTCCCTATATTGGTTGACTCAACTTCTTCCGTGCATGTAAATCAATTGATTGAATTCAGCATAGCACTCAGTTTCTTTCCTTGTGTTTTAGTTACATATAGTTGGATATTTCCAAATCTACTGGGCAGATCTTCTTTGGCAATACCAGAAGTTCCTTCTGGTAAAAATTTATACGTTTTCGGGCAAATCTTCTTTGGCATTTTGGGAGTCTCATCTAGACTCCTTTCCCTATCGGACAAATCTTCTTTTGTGACTGATTTCCGGTCTGTTGGAGTATCAGTTTCTTTATACTTGTATACCCAAACCAGCATCAGGTATCTTTCTCTGTGTCCAATACTATCATTTTTATCCTATTTCTCCAGATTGAATTCTTAGATTTCGTTTGGTTTCTTTCAAGGATTGAAGTGATGGATGTGTTTTTTAGCGACTTCGATAGCTACAGTGAGAGTAGTAGTAGCTCAGAAGATCAAGAAAATGATGAGTTTATGTATGGTGGACAGGCCAGCTCTATTTTGTCGAATCTTGAGGACACCATTGGCAAGATTGACGATTTTCTGTCATTTGAGAGAGGATATGTTGAGGGGGACATCGTGTGCTCAGTGGCCGATCCATCTGGACAAACAGGAAAGGTGATCAATGTGGAAAAAGTTGTCGATTTGGAGAACATTTATGGGAACAAACTCAAAAATATTGATTCCAGGAAACTCCAAAGGGTTCGTTCCATTTCAACAGGTGATTATGTAGTCGCTGGTCCATGGGTGGGGAAAGCAGGTCGGATTGTGGATTGTGTCACTGTGTGGTTTGATGATGGCACAAAGTTCAAATGTACAACAATGGATGACGAGAAGCTCATACCACTCTCTTCAGATCCATTTGATGATCCCCAGCTCCCTTATTTCCCTGGACAGCGAGTCAAAGTTGTGCGGTCTTCCATTTTCAAGTCAACAAGATGGTTATGTGGGACCCACAGAGACGAAGAACAAGATGAAGGAACCGTTTATGCAGTGGATGCAGGATTCGTGTATGTAAACTGGCTCGGCTGTGCTCAGTTTGATTTGGAAGCTCCCCCATCCTTGCAAAGCTCTCAACACTTGACTTCCCTTTCCTGTTTCTCTCATTCGAATTGGCAGCTTGGTGACTGGTGTTTTATGAGCAATCTCTGCTCGGGTTCTCAAGAAATCTTTGTTATTGTAAAAACAAAGACTAAAGTCGATGTTTTGTGGCAGGATGGAAGCGAATCATGGGGTTTGGATTCGGTTTCTCTTGGTCCTGTTAACATTCTTGATGCCCATGACTTTTGGCCTCATCAGTTTGTTCTTGAAAAAGGAACATCTGATGATCAAGAAAACAAGAAATGGGGTGTTGTGAAGATTGTTGATTCAAAGGAAAAAACAGTAAAAGTGAAGTGGGAAACGTGTTCACAAAAGGAAGAAAATGGTATTGAGGAAATTGTGAGTGCTTATGAATTGACTGAGCACCCGGACTTTTCGTATTGTTTGGGCGACGTGGTGTTTGGGTTAGAGAAAGGGGAGAAATCATGTCTGATTGGAATCGTAATTGGCTTCATAGATGGTGGAGTTCAAGTGAAATGGGCTGCGGGTTTTACATCCAAGGTATTTTCTCCATACCCCACTTTTGAGTGGGATATACTGACACTGCATTAAAATTGGGTTTATAGGACGCAAAAAATGACCAAGTGTCTTAATAGATGTACATGGTTATGTAAAAGTGTTACAATAAATTTATATGATGCTTTTGGGTCTTAACAAGTTTTTTAGGACACTTTTAAAATAAAGTGTTGTATTAGCTCTTTTATAGGACACTTCCCAAGAACATTCTATAAACTTATGGCAACACTTTTATATAGGATGCCCAGTTGTTTGGTCCTATAAACCTAAGTCCTATAAAACAGTCTCTTAGGACGCATAAAACATTTTAAGCATTTTATAAACCTGATTTTTTTTCTGTAGTGTGAGTTAGTTTAGTCTCGTTTTCCTTCATATTATCTTTCGTTTTGTATATTCTATGTTCATATAAACTAGTTTTGGATCTTGTTACAGGTTGCTCCAAATGACATTTTTCGGATGGACAAATGTGAAGGAAAATTGGCTACATCATTGCTTGATGATGAGAATACTGAGCCAAACCAAGAGAAATCCGAGCGTGATGACCTTGCACTCAATCTAAAGGCAAAGGTGAAACCAATGCCCCTTCCTCTTGCCCCCTTTGTTATCACTTTTTACCTACTTTCCAACCGAAAACGAATGTACTTGACTAGCTTGTCCTTGTTAAAGTGATGTTATGTTGACGATCATTGTTGGTCTCATATCAACTAGACATGGACTATTAAACCTGTATGTCACTCTCTTTAGAGAGAGATTCTAAGCATATGCTAATATGGTATCAGAACCAAGGTCTAGCACCATCTAGGGGGCACCTTGTAGCCACCGTTCGAATATACTTTATAATAGATATATTTTAGTAGGAATGAACTTATACTACTTTGAATCATGATCTTGAATGGAATGAAGTGATACGTTAAATGGTCAGGATTTGCCGGATTTCACTGACGATGGGAAGGATTGCTTCAAGAGTTTGTGTGACTCCAAGACTTTTGATGTTCCACGAGCTGCAATCGGGTTTTTATCCAATGTTGCTGCATGCCTTTTCGGGTCTCCAACTTACACATCATTGTCACCTACATCAGGACAGGGATCTTTTGACAGTGAGGAAGAAAGTGTGGTATCTTTAGAGACCTACAAAGAGGCAATGATCAAAGAAAACGATGATGTGTCTAAACATGTTTCATCTTCGTCAAGTAGCAAGAACCTACAACTCGAGAAATTTGAAATGGTTAGCGACTGCTCAACACATCACTTTGTTGATCGTGCTGGGAAAGGATTGATATCAAATCAGGTTAGAGCTCTACATTCTGTTGGGTAACTACAAAGTTTGTAGGACCAGCACGAAGTTCTATATTTTGAAAGTTGGGCAATCTAATAGGACACAAGAAGTAAATCATGAACGCCTATTAAGGGCTAGGTAGGCGTCACGAAAAGCTCATTTTGTCTAGTCTGGTGCACCAAGGCTCGTTGCATATTTGCGAAGAGGCTGCTTATTTAACTTAAACCCATGGTGAAAAGAATCTATTGGTGCAAGCCTGATTCGTGCTACATTGATGTTTTGTTATCTTTCAGGTAAAAAGAGGGTGGCTAAAGAAAGTTCAGCAAGAATGGAACATTTTGTTGAAGGATCTTCCTGGTGAGAAGTTCTGTTTCATCTTTTCTGATTTCCAGAATTCCACACACAAATATTTCATGATTTTAATGAGTGGATCATAGCAGGATATACTGCAACAAAATCGGGTTTATAGGAAGCCAAAAAAGTTTAAATACCCTTATAGACTATTTTATATGACTTAAGTTTATAGAACCAAACAGTAGTGCATCCTATCTAAAAGTGTTACAACAAGTGTTTATAAAGCAAATTTTTAGGACACTTTTGAAATAAAAGTTCTATTAAATTTTTTATATGATATTATTCGGAGAAGTGTTATAAAAACAAGCGTCCTATAAAAAGACGTTTTCATAGAGATAGAATAGAAATCAGAAAGATCATATGCTGTTTTCTAGTTTGAAAGATCTGTGATCTAATCATCATTCACAGATATATTGCATCTTCATTCTTGTATAACTGTTGTTTTATATTTGGATCGATTTTGACTGTTTTTATGTAAAACGAACAGCATCGATTTATGTCCGTGTCTTTGAGGAACGAATGGATCTGCTTCAGGCAGCCATTGTAGGAGCACCTGGAACTCCTTATCACGATGGCCTTTTCTTCTTCGACATTTTCCTTCCTCCAGAATATCCTCAAGAACCCCCAGTAAGTTTTCTTAAATACCACGAGTACCATTACACAAAACCCGTAACGTTTTATCCTCAAAACTTAATCCGACACTACAACAAAATCGGGTTTACAGAACGCCAAAATGTCTTAATAGAATCCTTCCTATTACTTCTTTTGTACAACATTATTTGAAAAACTGTCTTATAAAATTAAGTGTCCTTTAATAGGCCACTTATCAAAAAGTGTCCTATAACAAAACCAAATAGCACACTTTATCTTAAAAGTGTCCGAAAAATGTGTTGTAATACTTTTATATATGACGCACAATTGTTTGGTCCTATGAACTTAAGTCCTATAAACCGGTCTATAAGAACATTTGAATATGTTTAGTTGTCGTTTCTTATATGGTCTTTTAATCTTTGGCAGATGGTGCATTATATCTCTGGTGGGCTGCGACTCAACCCAAATTTATACGAGTCTGGAAGAGTCTGTCTTAGCCTTCTAAATACATGGGCAGGCACAGGAAGCGAAACCTGGAACCCAAATGGGTCTACTATTCTTCAAGTTCTGTTGTCCCTCCAGGCTTTAGTTCTGAACCAAAATCCGTATTTTAATGAAGCCGGATACGATCAACAGGTTGGGAGTGTCGAGGGAGAGAAGAATTCTTGCAGCTACAACGAGAATGCATTTCTCATGAGCTGTAAATCCATAATCTACACGCTTCGAAAACCACCAAAGGTACAATCATGATCTTAGAGTTTGCTTCATTCTTCCTTAGAAAAAAACCAATCTTTTGTAACCAAATCAAACGTACACAGTATATCCCATTTAAAATTAGAGGCAAACAACATATATTTTACGCGAGTTTATGATGCATCTTGTTTGACTCTTTGAACACTTGTTCATCGGCCCTCAGGGTGGTATACTTACAGAAACAGGCGAGGGTTCAAATTGTAGTGTCATGGGAGTTATAATTCCTTTGGGCTCCTTGTGGGCATTAGGCTCTTAAGGGATCCACCTAGTGTACCTGATTTGCCTCTCATGTGATGTTCTTGACACACCGTTTTGCACAAAAACTTGTTCGTTCTATTTTTATCAAACAACCGCCCGTTGCAAATTAATCCAAAACTTCTAGACTTCAACTTCTGTTATAAGTTTATCCTTTAATCTCGGACCTTCAAACTTAATATTTGCTTGCTTCTAAAAAAATGCAGCATTTTGAGGCACTCGTAGAGGAACACTTCAGGCGACGTTGCACTTACATCTTGATGGCATGTAAGGCCTATGTGCAAGGGGTTCCAATCGGTTATGCTTTCAAGGGTGAATACACTGAGCCCATAGGTCAAACCAAAAGCTCTACAGGATTCAAGATTGCGCTATCGAAGCTATTTCCGAAGCTGGTGGAAGCATTTAGCATAAAGGGTTTCGATTGCGCCGATCATATGGAAATGTGAATTTGGGAAGGTTTGAAAGTAACCATAAAATGGAAAGTGTGTAAAAAAGAGAATTTGTGGAATAATGGGGTGTGTTGTGTAAATATTGTGTTCTTGGTGTACTTTGTTGTAACTTTATAGACCCTTGTTTTATGTAAAAATAACATATTTGGTCCTCATGGTTTGTTCAAAACTATGAATTTCGCCCCTTGAACGCATTAACTACATTGGTGGTCACTATCGTTTGCAACTAATTACAGAACATCTTGTTCTTGTTATATAATACCTTCTTTCGACTTCGCCTTTATTTTTGTAGGATATGTAACTGGTCCCTCTTGCTTAAGGGCACCATCCATAGCGTGATGTATTCTGCTGTACCTCTTCGATAAATTTGTGTTGAAGGATCTTCGAACAAAGATCAAGGGTTATATCCGTGAAATCCTTATACACGGTTTGTACTTCTTTGATTGGTCGTTGTGCTTCTGCTTCTTCTTCGATTTCATCGTTGCACTTCTACTACAATTAGGGGTTTTCTTGTTTTTGATATATAAAGATCAACTCAAATCACTCAAACAATAATCATAGAATGTAATTTACATTAAATACTTTGATATGCGTTCTAATTTTATTGACTAAGACCAATGTTCAAGAATTTGAGTCTCGACTTATTGTCATGGTGGTAACAAAAGGAATCGCAATTTTCGGTTTTGGTTATGGCACATGCTATACTAATGGTCCAAGTTAGTACGGTAGTTTCGTAGGACAAGATTTAGCCTGGAGTCGACGGAGTCTTGTGTGTGCTTGTACGAATACTTGGATAGCATTGAGAGGATACAACATCAAACAACAATGAGATGGAGTTAGACGACGTGGATGAGGCCATTGAATAAATCAAAATTGCCCAAAAACCTATCAATTGTGGCCAACGAAACTAATATCGTCAATAACATTGAAGACTTTGAAAATGAAATTGATGATCAAGATTGAAGGTTAGTAGAAAACGCTACGAAAAACAAATATTGAAGTTTATTTCAATGGCTCCATTGAGATTTGTGAAAATAAAATTGTATTATTATTTTGTAGAAAAAGAATTGTGGAAAAGATTACCAAAATGAATTATTTCTTCAATACTACACCGATTAATATCGGTTACAGTATTAGGTTAAAGAATCGGGACCAGAAAGGATCAGTTATCTAACATTTTTTTCTTAACCTCTCTCTTTTTGCCTTACCCTCTTAGTTTGTATCAATAGGAGTAAATAAGATGAATATCAGTATAATAACAAGGGTAAATTTTATTAAAATAGAACCAAGTTTAAGTCAATTTATTTTTTAAGGAACCAACTTTTAAAACCTTCATTTTAAGGCTTAAAACAAACTTTGGATATAATTTGATGACTTGCAAATGTTGATGTGACACTACAGAATAGTATTATTCGATTACTTGTCAAATGACATGGATTTTTAATTAAGATTTGGCACTTAGTTCCATATAAGTAATGTCTCCGAATCTTCAAAGCAAAAAACTAAGGCCACCAGCTCCATGTCGTGAGTATGATATTGTTTTTCATGCTCTTTTAACTGTCTTGAGGCATAAGCGATAACCTTTCTGCGTTGCATCAACACGCAACCCAAACCCAGTTTCGAAGCATCACTAGAGACCACAAAATCTTCTGTACCATCAGGTAAAGATAGAATTGGCGCGCTGCAGAGCTTATCTTTCAACATTTGGAATGTTTCAGCTTGTACCTCCTTCCACTCGAATTTCACATTCTTTTTCCTCAGTCCAGTCAACGATGTGGCAATGCGAGAAAAGTCATGTATAAACTTTCAATAATAATCTGTCAATCCAAGGAAACTTTGGGTTTCTATTGGCGTTTGCGGTGCTTCCCACTTCTCGATGGCTTCAATTTTGAGTGGATATACTTTAATACGCACATCAGAAATTACGTGGCCCAGAAATTGGACTTCTTATAGCCAGAACTCATATTTCGACATCTTTACATACAACTTCTCTCATTTCAAAAGCACTAGAATCAGTCGCAGATGATTCGCGTGCTTTTCCTCAGATCGAGAGTATATCAATATATAGTTGATAAAAACAATAACAAATCTATTGAGATATGGACGGCACACCATATTCATCATGTCCATGAATATCGTTGGTGCATTTATAAGTCCAAACGACATCACCAAGAACTCGTAGTGACCATAACGCGTACGAAATGTTGTTTTCGACACATCTTCTTCTCATATCTTTCGTTGATGATAACCAAATCATAAGCCAATCTTTGAAAAGTAACTAGCCCCAATCAACTGATCAAATAAATTATCAATTCTTTAGGAGTGGATACTTGTTCTTGATGGTCAATTTATTTAGCTCACAGTAATCGATACACATCCTCATCGATTCGTCTTTCTTCTTTACAAACAATATTGGTGCACCCCATGGAGATGTACTCGGTCGGATAAAGCCTTTGTCGAGCAATCCTTTCAACTGACACATTAATTCCTTCAATTCAGACGGAGCTAATCTATATGGTGAACGAGCAACTGGCGCGGCTCCAGGTATCAATTCAATATGAAATTCTATCAATCGATCAGGAGGTAAACTTGTCAAGTCTTCCGGGAATACTTCTGGAAATTCACTTACAACTAGAATATTCTCCATCTTGCTCTTTTCTTTCTTTATATCAATAACATAAGCGAGAAAGCTTACACACCCTTTCTGCACATACCTCCGAGCCTTTAAGATGAAAATAAGGCTGGAACAACAGTCTCGTCTATCGCCATAAATTATAACCGGTCCCTTTCCCGATAAATCTATATGAATCATTTTCTTATTACATATTATGTTGGCTTGGTTTTTAGCCAACCAACCCATACCCACTATTACATTAAATTCCCGTAACGACATAGGGAATAATTGAATGGGTATCTCACACCCCTCTACTGCTATAAAACAATCATCAAAAACTTCATGAACCGAGATTTCACTATCGTTTGTTGTTTCTACCATCAAAACATCATCTAACACCTTAAACTTTAAACACGCACATCCAACAAATGAAGGCGACAAAAATGAACGATTTGCACGAAATAAAATAAGACTTTGGCACCTATTAAATTAACAAAGAATGTATCTGTCACCACTCCTAGGTTTTCTTCAGCTTTTCCTCTCGTCATCTGAAAGGCCCGTCCTCTCGTCACTGCCTCTCCACGACCACTAGGAATATTTCGGTTAACCATCAATCCCCGATTGGATAGATTACCCCCAGAATAACCAGATACTCCTCCATTCGCTTGTGGACAGTCATATTGAATATGATGGAGAGAATTACACGTAAAGCATCGTCGTACCACTCTGCAATCTTTGTCCAGATGACCCGATTCCTGACATTTGTAACACCTTCGTGGTTCAGTGATACATCCCCCTTGATCTATTCTATGGAATCGGGTACACGGTCTATCAGTAAACCTTTGTGTTGGATGATTTAGGGTTCCAACAAATTTAGGTCTACAGAAGTCAGCCACTGACGCATCCCCTTTCCTCTTCTCCCCAATGCTCTCTTGTGGTTGTCGATTGTTATCTTGTTCCATAATCTCTGCAGTATCAACCGCTGCTTGAAACTTAACCGGATTTTTTTGGAAATCACATACTTTCTAAGGTTGCATTCCAAACCCCAGATATACTTTCTCACCTTGCTGCTTTTAGTAGCAACATATGCCTCGACAAATCAAGACTGTTCCATGAATCTTTCAGTATATTAACGAACTCTCATACTGCCCTGCACTAGTCGAAGAAAATTGTCCTCTAGCTTTCATATCGCAGCTTCAGAACAATATTGAACTTTAAACTTTGCAACAAAATCCTCCCAAGACATTGTATCCAAAATATTCGGATCTGAACTCAACATAATTTCCTACCAGGCTCGACTGCATGTATGAGTGTCCCGTCTAGTGCACCAATTGCACCCTTCATTGATGAAAAAATGTTGAAAATTTGTACTTAACTATCAAAAAACTATAAAAACAAAGCTTACCGAAAATATTTTCTCAAACGACTTTGTCGATTTGACATAATCTCTGTGTTTGTTTCAGACGCTGCTGGACAGACAATTTCTCTCGCAAACTTCATCATTCCTCGTAGAACTTCATGAAGACAACTATGGACAGTGTTGATGGAATGTTGAAATCTTCGTTTGATCACTCTATAACGTTCGCTATGTCCGATCATTGTAAAACACATAATTATTTTCTCCTCGACACTTACAAATCTACCATCTTTTACCCAACCCCTTTGTTTAAAGTGATTGCATAGTAATACATATGCTTCACGAGGCATACGCATCAACTCCTGACATTACAAAATAGATCCATGTAGCAACTCTTGTGTGTATGCATGTCCATTCATAGCTGAAATGTAATCTCGTACCCTCTCGATTCTTGTTGAAGAATTCATTCTTCGTCTTAAATACCAAAATAATAGAGTTACGAATAAACGTTCTTCCTTGTAAGTCAACATATCTAAAATTGCAAAAATAATCGTAAATCAACTTGTAAACATCATTTATATATCTAAAATTGCAATAATAATCGTAGGACAACTTGCAAAAATCAACCAAATATCATAAAAACCAACTTGATAACATAAAACCTAATATCATCAAACCAACCATTCCAAATACATCAACGACCAAAAAGAGACATAAGCATCAACAAAAAAGTCATTGGAAATGTATCATAAGCATCAACAAAAATGCCATTGGAAATGTATCATAAACATCAACAAAAAAGTAAGCATAATCCTAAACATCAATGGCCAAACCGACAACCACCTACTTGTAGCCTTGTTTATCTCTAACCGTCTTAACCCAATCAACCGCAAATTCGGGTGGTATCATCAACCATGACTCGTTATTGTCCTTGTCACCAAGAAGAGCCATTGCAATACGATATAAGGGACCATCTTTTGGCCATCCAAGTTCATTGAGTTTTTGAAGATAAACCACGTAAGAAGGAGGCTCAACACCATCGGGGTTCCCATCTTGTACGGCAAAGCTTTTAAAACTGACAAAATCTCCTTATCTATGTCAGATTGGCTAACTTGTTCCTTATTGGTTCTCACTTGAGTACGAGCTGAAGATACGGGAGTTGAGGAAGTGGGTTGGGAATTG